TTTTTTCATTCCTCGCTTAAAAGACCTTGACGGGCTGTTAGTCGCATGGCCCGAACGTTTTCTACCGTCGATGTTGAAGCCGCATTTATTTGTTGCTAGTGATGCGGAAGGAGAGGATAGTCTGGAATCCAAGTCATCCAACCTAAAATAAAATGTGAAGAAGCAATATTAGATGCCAAGATAATCAGGGAAGAACAATCAACAGTGAAGAAACTGTAATAATCGTGCTGTTAATGTTAATTCTCCTCGTTCTCAGACTTAAATTACCCTACTTAAAAAATATCATATCTGCTTCATTGTCTTTAACTATTAGGCCTGAGAATCCTTCAAATGTCAAATATACAGTAAAAGCCTAGAAACAATCACGTAAGCCAAAGAAGGTATCAAGGAAACTACTTTTTAATGTATAATACATAACAAAAATAAAATTAAAAAACTAATTTCTATAGTACTATGTTTAACTTAACTTCAGAATATTAGGTAAAAGATAATCAAGTAAACGAAAAGATACTTAACTTCAGAAGATGAGATAAAGGAAAATAAATTGAAAGGAAAAGCAAATTAACAACCTTCAGGAGAATTAAATTCCAGTACCTTACAAACTTCTCCCGCTGTCCCCCCAGATATTGGGACTTGGAACCGCAGTCGAACATTTTGTACAGTCAAACACATATACAGTCACTGCAGCAGAATAAAATTTCATGTTAACCATAGTCTTGAACAGTTTAGCCTCAGTTTCACAAAAGTTGCCATATATGAATACAGCTTTTTTGCAGTCAAGGAAATGGTCTTGAATCCAATGAGTCATAACAACATCAGCCAAGAGGATAAGTTTTTCTCAAACACATTAATATCCATTTGGAGCGATGCGGTAATTAAAATAATTCAATTGACCAATTATATTATTCTCCTTCTTCCATCAAAATTTAGATGGTGCCTGGCCCCATTGTTTTCGACTCTTAGTTCCCTCTTCAGCATTTGATCTGCTGTCACAATAGAGTAAATCTTTCTGTGGTTTAGCTTTCTTATTAAACCATTTCATCTAAGCATACATAAAGATTTCAGAGCTTAACCTACTGAAGCTGAAGCAACAACCTTAAACAAAGATTTATTTGTACCTTACACTTTTTGTCTCACCACTTGTGGGATTACACTGAATTTGTTGTTGTTGTTTTACACTTTTTGTCTCACCTTGACCCACCAAGTTACTACTTCAGAGCGCAGTAAAGCTCCTAAAATTTAGACTATTTGGCAATTAAACCAACGTAGCTATCGCGAAAAATTTACAAACTTCAAACCAAAGAAAAAGAAGGTTTGCGTTTTACAAACATCAACAGCAACTTCAAAATGCAAATTTCCAGAAACTAACTCAAATACCCTAAATTGAACATTTAATTTCCTACATTTTGGTACTACCGCAGTAAGCCTAATCAACCTTCCCCTTTCCTCTACCCTTTATATAATTTTTCTTATGACGGTGGTGTCCGAGCCAGCTCGTGTGTACCTCGACTATTCCACCGGGTACTTTCTATCTCCCACCAGCACAGGTACCGGGTAACTCTATCCAAGGCCTAGACATATGGGAAAAATCATGTAGTGTTTTTACCCTATATAATTATTTTATCTTGAGATGATCCAAATTTGGACAAATTCTAAATCTCAATTTCATTTCAACAAATAACAAAATATCAAAATAATTTCAGTATACTCATGTTGACTGAATTTCAGATGAGGTCCATATTTCTACAACTAAGTTCCAATCCCATCAACATTGAGTCATCTATACACAAAATGACATAACCCCTTTTGATTTAACTCATCAAGATTGAGTTTTTGATCTGACCCTTTTGATTTAACCCATCAAGATTGACTTTTAAATAAACCCTTTTGATTTAATCCATCAAAGATTGAATTTTTAGTCTTTGTTGACCATTTTAAGATGCAAATTTTGCATTTAAATCAGATAAAACAGTTCAATAAACTGAACAAATTATAGCATAAAGAGCAAAGTAGTTTAAAAAAGAGAAACTGAAATACAAGGTAATTACAAAAATATATGAGTATAGATCAGAGAAAGGGGACTTACAGTTGAAGTCTTGAGAAATTAATTCATGGAGATAGGAAGAAGAAGAAGAAGAAAATGGTGGGGTGGCAAGGGGGGCCTCCCCGTGACAAAACCATCTTGACCCTCCTGGCCATATTGCCCGCCTCCTGGAAAGAAATATCGCTCCCTGTCTCCTTAGCCATTTGAAGTCGAATTGGCTGGATCAGTCCCTCAATGAACCTCCTCACTCTCTCTCTCTCTGTGGAAAGTATAAGTAGAGCATGACGGGCCAAATCAATAAACCTGGTCTCATACTGGGTATCGATCATGGAACCCTACTGGAGACGCTTAAACTGCCTCCGGTAAATCTCCATCTGAGTAACAGGAAGAAACTTCTCCAAAAAGAGCTGAGTAAACTGCTCCCAAGTCAAAGCTGGCGATTCGGCTGGTCTAGCCAAACAATAATCTCTCCACCAGGTCTTGGCGGATCCAGATAAGCGGAAAGTAGCAAAGTCGACCCCATTGGTCTCCACTATCCCCATGTTCCTAAGAACCTCATGACAACTGTCTAGATAATCCTGGGGATCCTCAGAAGATGCACCGCTGAAAGGGGCAGTGAAGAGCTTAGTAAACCTATCCAATCTCCACAAGGCATCGGCAGTCATGGCTGTTCCGACACCGGTCTGGGCTACCACAACCGCCTGAACTGCTCCAACTGGCTGAGCTGCTGGAGTCTGGAACTGAGGAGCCACCTGCTCCGGAGTGCGAGTACCAGGAGCCTGGACCCCTCCTCCAGCCTGAGCGACGGCTGTGGCTACAGGAANTAAATATCTTTTTAATTTTTTTATTTAATTTTTAGGGTATTATCATTTTTAATCCGCGCCAGAAACTATTTACATTTGATAGCTAAAAAAGTGTATTAAATTTGTATAATTTTTGGATATAACATACAGAATGTATATATATAAAAAAAAATATACACTTTTTCGGCTATTATTTTGAGAGTGGCTATACAACGTCATTTTTTCTTAATTTATATATAAAAAAAAGGGCAACCCAATGTACTAAGCTCCCGCAACGGCTATACAACATCATTTTTCCTTAATTTCTCAATCAATATTCGATATCTATTTTGAGGTCCGACTAATCCAGATTTGCGTCAAAAAATCTCACTTGTGAATAATGCACTCTCTATCAAACGTGATATTATATTGAGGATAGAGGAATACTTCACTCTAATTATTGATAGTGTTACTCCTTTTTATAGAATGAAAAACTCTCTTCTTGGGGGGAAAAAATTTGTTCTTCCTTTTCTTTAATGACTTAAATTAATTTGCATCACATTTCCATAGTTCACATAGTTCCTCTGTTTCGTTACATGTGGTACTTCCCTTATTAATTTGTTTAAATAAAAATATCACCTTTTATGGTATTTAAAAATAGGGAAATTTGTACTTATAATCCTTCAAATGTCGACAATATATGATTTTGATTCTTTTTCTTGTGAACATTCGCAAACCTTTCTTTTTTTTACTAACCTGTAACTTGTGACTCATTTGTAATGTACTCCAAATTTGAAGTTCATATAATTCTGAATTAATAAGTAAATTAATTAACGGGGACCAAAAATGCATATTTTACTTAATTCAAGGTTAAACAAGCATGTTTCACAAAGAATCAGGAACAAAAATCAGAATATATTAACAATTGAGGGATCAAAAGTTCAAGTACCCGTTGAAAATAATTTAATTTTATACTTCTCATTTAACCTTTAATGACATGATTTTATAACCTCAAAAATGTCATGATATATTTAAGACTACAAGTTTCAAAACTCTTAGCTTTAAACTTTGCATTTTATCTTTAATGACATGATTTTATAACTCCTAAATTGTCATGATATGTTTAAGACTATTAAGTTTCAAACTTCTTATTTTCTTTCTTTTTTAGAATTCCACGTCCAATCAAACACTATCATATAAAATGAAAAAGATTAAAGAATTTGAAATAAAAATCATTTGACTTGGATAAATCACCTAAGTGGGAAAAAATAATTAAAATATTATAATTTAAAAAGTTACTATATGTGATTAATAATTCAAAGGAAAAAATAAACCTTACATGAAATAAGAGGAGAAAAATGTTGAGAGTTTTAACGTAGGATGAGGCATTTGATTTATAAGGTAATCTGAGTCGAAACATGATTTTCACCCTATACGATTACAACATTTAAGTTTTAAGAATTAAACACAACAAGTTTTTCTTAAATTATTACTAAACATTAGTTCCAAACAAGTTTGGATCGGCAATATGAATCCTTACTGATTCAAGAAATTTATCTATTTAAATCTATCCCAAGTCAACAATATACAAGAATAAAATAAAATACAAACATTTGAATTAGAAAGAAAAAAAATTAAGAGCTGCTTCCACAATGCATTCAACATATGGACAAAGTCTGTTTCAGTTACACATTCAAGCCAGCAAACTCAATTGGGATCATTTTTAGCCAGCGTGTTACTTTTGATAGCCAAAAAAGTATATAAAATTTATATAATTTTTTGTATATAACTACAGAATGTATATATATACATAAAAAAATATATAAATTTTATATATTTTTCGGCTATTATTTTTACAGCGACTATACAATATCATTTTTCCAACTCAATTCGCAACATCCAAAATAGTTTGTACCCTTCGTAGTTAGTACAATTCTATTTAAATACACAAGTATTCATACTCTCCACGTTTTTCTCTTTTCCTTGTCCTCTTAATCATGTAATAGGTAAAATCTCACCCGATATTTACATCAGATCAATATATTTTGCTATGGTTGAGTAACAAATGAGATGAAAATGCACAATAATTTACCATGGTTAGATGAGTAAAAGAGTGTTCAGATAATCATTGATTTGGTATCAACATCGGAATAAATTATAACTTGCTTGGAGTCTTAACTTCAAGTTCTGTGCACTGATAGTGTAAAATTTTTACACCATTACTGCAATTTAACCAGTTATAACAAGTTACTACTCTGTTTTCTAGGTTACCATCTCAGGCTTGACATAGCATTCCACAATTTTTGTTAGTCAACTTAACCAGATACTGCAAAATTCTTACATTGTCAGTGCACAGAACATAAAACTCGAAAGGAAAATATTGTCAGCCCTGTACAATTGAGTATTGGCGCAACAAAAGGCAACCTTCTGACATAACGGCAATTGAGAAGAGCAGGGCAAGCAAAGGAGTCTGCTGCTAATTTCAACAAAAAGAGGACACAGCCAATGTTCACTTTCAACTCCGAATAGATCTCTCAGTTGATTGATACAAATATCATCCACGCATGAGTTGACACAACCAGGTTTCTACCCTTCAGCCTGACTGAAACTGCTCACAATGTAAAAGTTCTGCTAAAGAGGGTATAGCAGCATTTCAGGTGAAAATGACCGAGGTAATAGAAGTGTCAATTCATATTAACCGTCATTAGGACAGCACAAACAATCAGAAATAAGGGCATAGTTAAAGGTTGTGCAATCCATATGGCATCGCATGAACCACTGCACAAAATATGGTCGCGTGGTTGTTGCATGGCCACATCACTATTGAATGAGATGCACCGTCACATATTGAATGAAACCCACCCATCCCACCGACCCACCCCCCAAAAAAAAAACCAACACGCAAAAAAAGATACCCAGTACATGGTTATTCTAGAATATCAAGGGGGGTCGGGGTGAAAACAACGCATTTTCGGTTTCTTTTTTTTTTTTCAGTTCCAATTTTGACCTAGTAGGTGCTTAATGGGGATTAGAATCAAAATGATAAAATCATAGGAAACATGTTGCTGTAAATGTAGGCTTGAAACAGAGGGAGAGCAATCATTTGCAAAAATTGAACTTAACTTAAACCTCATTCCTTTTTTTTTCAAGAAAACAAGTTAGTAAAACTATATACAGAAACTTGATGCTGTCAAGAAAAGTAATAGATCAGACAAACCATTTTCATGGTGCAAATTATTAAAGTAACAGAAGCTCAACTATAGATCGACAATCCGCTAGGAAACCATACCTTTCTGCACATGTTCCCAAATCCTTGTAACTTTCTGATGCTTAGGTGAAAAAATATAAACGAAATCACAGATTGAATATACCCCTCAGCCTCAATGAACGAGCACCTCCTTTATCACATTTCTGGCTTCGCTACACAACACATCTGAATCATTTCCTCTTAAAGGCTGGTGGACGACAACTTTAACTAATCCTGGATATACTCTACCCTCCAGCCCTGCTGGCATTATTCTGCCTGTTCCGGTAATAGTAATTGGAACCACAGGCACTCCGGTTTTGGCAGCAACACTAAAGGCACCTTTCTGCATCACCAGCAAGGAAAAAAATAGATAAGAGCTAAACAGAAGGCCAGCGCACCTTCACTAGTTTTATTTACTATAAATTCTTGTAATCAATGACCCATAAAAAAGAATACCAGACTATGGTTCCATGAGTTGATTAAGGCCTTGTGCTTAACAGCTAAGGCATCAAGGCCTTCAAAATTACTCTGACATTAGTTACTTTCTCCATTTATGCAAGCTACATAGTGAGTTTTCCCCCATTTCTTTGGGGTGTGTGGAGGTGCATGGGATGAGGCTGGGGAGGGGGGAGAAGATTTTGGTGTGTGTGTGTGTGGGGG